TTTAGCACATAATTTACACAAATATCATTCCTAACAGCTAACCCAAATACATATTATTTACAACTACAAGTATTATTTCCCTTCTTATGAAGTTAATCCATCTCTAGCATTAACTTGGTTTTCAGGAAGAATTTTTATTTTGAGCTTAAGAAATTACATATTGATTCAGTTATCTGACATAAATGTTGTTGGGATTTTAAGATCTGTTCCTATTTGGCCAAGATTTATTTGCTTACCTTCCATTCTCAGATATTGACCCTATTACAGAGATGGGGTGAACTGTATAATACAGCACCAGAAACGACCTTTTATATCTCGCTAAGGAGGGGCAGCTGATCAGCCCCGAGTAATCTAGCCCAATCTCCTTCTGAGCCAGGCTGTTTTTGGTATCCAAGTACTTGGCCAATTGTATAGAGTAAAAGCTCCACATTATCATAATAATTCACTAACAGAAAACCAAGATACATCTTAATACAAAATAATATACCACCAAGGGTTCCAAACACAATTCCTTAGTTGTTTAAAATATTTAATTTGAATGATTTCGGGTGAAGATTTGTTCTTCTTCAGGTCGCAGAGAAGTAACCTAACTCATAAACTGTGTCACTCTATAGAGCCACCGAGACGTCAGAGATCTGTGTGACTGTCACATTACAAAGCTACTGAATCAGGATCCCTATTATTTTACTATGATATACTTCTGATGTGTTTTAATGTGCTTAACATATACGAAAACTCTCCATAAGATTTATAAAGGCACCAAAATCTATTCAACAGATATTATTCATGTGAACATTTTATAAATATTGAAAAGATTTTCCAAAAGTGTTCATCTGGTTGTCTAAAATGCAAAGCCTAATCTTGAATAACTACATGCCTTTCAAGGGAACATGGGAAACATCCTTAGAAACAATACGGTAAATATGCCAACTGGAACTAATTGATTAAATTCACTAGTTAACACTGCTTTCAAAATGTATATTATCTGGGAACTGGATATTACTCATCCTATTTTAGATCTGCTATTCTTCAGCCTGGCCAACATTGCCCTAAAATGTCAACTAGGAACATAGAAGTGGAAATAAAGGAGAAAAAAATATATATTTTACTTTAGGTTATCTACCCTGGACTTCTTCCTTTATTAGAACTCATTTTGTAATTTCTTTTGTGAAGCAAAGAAATATGGATGTCAAGGGTTCCTTTAAATGATCTTTTAGAGAAATAAATGATTGTGGGCAATATTGATGAGGCTTTCCTTACAACAGAGCACCATGAACTGTGAAATATGAGAACGTATTCAAGATCAGCCAATAAAACATCTCCTGTCTCCTTTCCAAGTATTACTAAGCTCAAATTTATTTTATGCTCCCAGTTAATGAGGGCAGGAAACAAACATATTTAAAGCACACCCTAAGAAAAGAAAGTTCTACAATGAACTATCACCACATGCAAAAAGAGTTCTGTATAACAAAGCTATTTCCATGTCCTCAGGGGGTGACCCAGGGAAAAAAGAGTGCTCTGACCTGGTTATAACAAATTCTCTCTCTCTTGGTAACCTATCCTGGTCTTTAACAAATTATCACTCTCAAAGGTTTTCCTTCTATCAAGTCTAAATCCTCACTGTTAGAAGTTCAAGTTCATTTCCTTGAGAAGCCACAATGAAAATGGGTCAGGGAGGAAAAATTGATGCCAAAAGAAATGACAGTACAAAACTAGGTTTATTATGAGATTTTAAAAAATAGCTCTAGTATGAAACTTCAAAACAGCAAGTTATATTTGGGTAAGATACTATTCTATTTCTTATCTAAATTTCAATTTGAAAATGAAATAAAGCATTCTCATTATTTGGAACCTCTGGTAACAAAGAAAATATTTAGTACTTAGATCTAAGGTATTTATACTGTTCTTCTAGAACAGTTCAATTCTGCCTGAAAAACTTGCAAAGTAAACTGGCATTATATAAATTCCAAACAGAAGATCTGCTTATTTATCTGAATAATGAATCATGCCCAACTCTCACTTGGATTTGATTTGTATAAACTTTACTGTGACCTTACCAATGACCTAGTCCCCTATGATAGAGCAGGCCACAGTTGCTCCCATTAAAAACTCAAAGCCAAGGACTCAAAGCTCAAAACAAATCCACATTTCCAAGGACTTCTCAGAGGCAATGAGAAAGGCCTAAAGATGTTATTTGTTCTTCCAACATCTCTTTAAGTCTTTCTTCATGCAATTCTATTACCCCTTTAAACTCGTTTCCTATTTCTCTCCATTTCCGGTCTACCCCACCCTATACTATAGTAATAGAAAATATTTCTTGATTCTTGATCTCTCTCTACCTTTTTTCTTCTAAGACAGCAAGCATCTAGTCAGTTTTATTAATAGGTTCTTAGTAGAATATAGGCAGTGAGTGGCAAAGATGCAGAGTGACTATGCCAGTACACACCCCTCACGCCTTAAGGAACAGTTTTGTGGATTATCCTTCTCTTAAGCAAATAAGCACCCCACAGAGTAAAAGACTGATAAAGATGTGCAAAAGCATCCTGAGAGAATAATCACATCCAGTACAGCTTGGCTGCTTTAGGAACACAGGTAACTTCTCACACATAACACCTTCATGTGTATTAGTTTCAACACTTTCATAGAAATTGTACCATGTGAGCCACGGTTAAAAAGATGTATGTATGGATAGAATTCATCCTTGCCCTGGCCAGTTTGGCTCAGCGGTTAGAGTGTCGGCCTGCGGTCCTGAGAGACCCGGGTTCGGTTCCTGCTAAGGGCGCGTACCTCGGTTGCAGTTTGTCCCCGGCCCTGGACAGTCGTGCGGGTGGCAGCTACTCGATGTGTTCCTTTCACATCGATGTTTCTCTCTCTCTCTCTGTTCCTCTCTCTCCCTCCCACTCTACCTGAACAAAAAAATGGGAAAATGTCCTCGGGTGAGGATTAAAAAAAAAAAAAGAAAAAAAGAATTCATCCTTAAAAGGAGCACCTGTGCATTCTTTTGCCAGAAGTGTTACCTGTGTTGAGGTTCTTGGGTTCCTGGCCACCTGGTATTTTCTATTACCAGGCCCAAGTCCCTGTGCTGTCTCAAAAGTACAACACATCTACAAAAGAAATACAATATTTGAAAGCTGCCTACATATGTAGGCACAGAAACAGGACAAAATATCCAAGCCATATTTTAAAATTAATCTTAGTTCGTTGCAAAGATATAGTCATAAATTTCTTTTTTTCATCCTCACCCAAGGACATTTTTCCATTTTTTGTTCAGATAGAGTGGGAGGGAGAGAGAGGAAGAAAGAGAGAGAGACAGAAACATTGACGTGAAAGAGACACATCGAGTGGCTGCCACCCGCACGCCCTAATCAGGGCAAGGGACAAACTGCAACCGAGGTACGTGCCCTTAGTGAGAACCAAACCTGGGTCTCTCTGGACCGCAGGCCAACACTCTTAACCTCTGAACCAAACCAGCCAGGGCTAGTCATCAATTTCTTAACATTAAGAAAAATAAGCTTATCAGTCTTAAAAAAGGCAGAAGGGCCTTAGAGTTAGTATTATGAAAGTCACTATTAAAAACAAATTGCCCCAGCCCTGGCCGGTTTGGCCCAGCGGTTGGAGTGCCGGCCTGCGGTACAGAGAGACCCGGGTTCGGTTCTCGCTAAGGGCACGTACCTCGGTTGCAGTTTGTCCCCGGCCCTGGTTGGTCGTGCGGGTGGCAGCCACTCGATGTGTCCCTTCACATCAATGTTTCACTCTCTCTCTCTTCCTTTCTCTCCCTCCCGCTCTATCTGAACAAAAAATGGAAAAATGTCCTCGGGTGAGGATAAAAAAAAATAAAAAATAAAAAAAAAATAAAAAAATAAATAAATAAATAAAAACAAATTGCCCCAATACATAAACGAATAGCTCATGGAGTCTTTATACACAAAGGTATCACACACTATAAGAAATACTTAATTTTATTGGGACAGCTCCCTCTGGAAATAAATATGGATAGTCTATACTTATTTCATACTGGCTTTATCCTATAATGATGTGTTTTAGCAGTACAGCCTTCGTTTTCTGATCAAATTTTCAAAAACCATAGTCATATACATCTTAAAATCACTTTGTAAGGTCTGATGGTGTGCCAGTGTAGGACATGGAAGGGGATTCAATAATCAACTACGGAGTCAGTGAGCTTTTATCAACACGGCGAGTCAATGCTGAGCCTGGTACACTATTGCAGAGTGCAACTGAGTGTTTTCCCCACAGGCTGTAACTGATTATTGACTCCCCCCATTAACATGTAGGATGTATACTGAAGGTTCAAAGAGAAGGCTGAGGGACTCCTGTCCCAAGGCCAGTGCTGAAAGACCGCCTATCACTTTGTGTAACTGCATTCCATGTGTGACAAATCTGACCTACATTTCTCCCTTTCTTTCTCACAAGAGCTTGTCACTGTTTTAAGAAGCTATTTTCTAAAATGCATAAAAGAAATGACTTTTAAAACTGCTTGGGAAATGTTCATTCCCAAAATATCATTTATAGCAATCTTATAAGGAATCGTTTATCCAAGAGAAAATCATGAAACCTAGCCTAAAACAAGCTCAGGGACTGCTTTATGTGACCTCATACAGTATCTTCTTTGAGACTGTCATTTATACAGTTTACAGTCTTAAAAGTACTATAATTAAAATTTTCATCAGTACATAATTAAATTTAATAAAAGTAAGTTTTTAAACATATAGAACGTATTAATTAGGAATGTGTAAACATTTTTTGTTGTTATAAAAAGTAGCTTTCACAGATTCACAAGAAGCCACATCTTAGTAGTTTTGTTAAGTTCTCAGTGGATGCACGATAATCACTACTAAGAATAGGACATCCTTACAAACCATGATAAGGGAGTAAAAAGGCAATAATCACTTGGCACGTGCTGGCGAGCGCTCCCTGGAATGGCTGCAGACTGTGCCCCAGAGAGGTGCCATGTGCTGTGGCTCCGCACTGCAAGTACCTACCATGCCGCTGCAGGTCATACTCTTTCTTTGTCTCTTCGTTCCCTAGGATTTTCCATGCCTGGTCAATTTCGATGAACTTCTGTATACATTCCTCCAATGTTCCTGCTGGCACATCTGCACTTTGTTTATCTGGATGATACTGTCAATCAAAAATAAAGAGGGTGGTGAATAGAGAGGGTTAGCAGGGGTAAGTTAAAAAAAAAAGTAAATCTGAGCTTTAGTTAAGAGAGAAGGTAATGAGAAGATGAAACGAAGATGCCAAGGCAACGGGACAACAGTGTTGGGCACAGGAGACAACTTGCCAGGGTAATTAGACCACTGGAGTAGCTATAAATCCACCAGTGACATGACCTGTCACAACGTGCAAAGACAGCATTTTCTGGCTAATTTGCTGATGGATGGAATCACTGGTCTCATGGACAGTTTACCTAGAGAGGATGACTAACACAAACAGAAATAGGTACATGCAGCCGAACAGGACATGGCAAAGGAAGAACACAAACCATGCAGAGAATAAACCTTCCTTATACAATGTGCATGGCTATACATACCAACAAGAATGGAGAATTAGCTTTTTCTCATGAAATTAGATTGTACAATCATACTGTAAAGTAAAACACTTTCATCTTCCAACTCAGTTCTGAAGATTTTAGTTATAAATCCCCATACATACTTTTTATTGAAAAATGATTATTCTAGGGCAGATTTATAAGAAACTTTAAAGAACTCAATAAAACACTTGAATATGAATTAATTCATTAGTAAATGTTTCTAACGTGTGTTTTCTAAGAAAGTTTTAAGAGTGTTTTCAATATGCAGTAATTTCTTTACTCAATTTGGTAAAAAACAGAACGTTTTATGTCAATTCAATTCTGAAATGATAATGTAAATGTGGCTCACTGGATACCTCACTTATATCATCCCCTTTTTCCTATGCTCTCTGTGGTTATCCCTTCTCTTTTTATCTATCAGTTCTTCTGAAAGAATAAATATGTCATTTGCTTTTTGGCAATCTCTCGACAAACAAGTAAGGAAAACTTATCTAAATTTAGAGACATCTCACTTGAATAATCTGAGAATAGCAGCAGCAGATATTGAGATATGTAATTTTTCACTCTCAAGTAAATAAGGAACCACGTGGTAGTATTCATCCAGAATTTTCAGCCAGCAATTACTCTTAATGTTTTATCAAATATATTACAGAACAAATTTTAATTTTAAAAATTCTCTTAAGAATTTCCTTTGAGCCCTGGCCGGTTTGGCTCAGCAGTTAGAGCGTTGGCCTGCGGTCCAGAGAAACCCGGGTTCGGTTCCTGCTAGGGGTGCGTACCTCGGTTGCAGTTTGTCCCTGGCCCTGTTTGGTCGTGCGTGTAGCAGCCACTTGATGTGTCCCTTTCACATCGATGTTCCTCTCTCTCTTCCTCTCTTCCCTCCCACTCTGTCAGAACAAAAAATGGAAAAAAAAAAATGTCCTCGGGTGAGGATAAAAAAAAAAAAAAATTTCCTTTGAACTAACAGATTTACAGATTTTTTCCCTTTAGTTCTTACTTTTTCTTATCCTTTTTTATAATAAAATAGGCAAATGGACATATTCACATTTCATGACACTAATGTGATTAGTTCACATGCTCATCAATTAATGATATAGTCATTTAAATTCTTTCATTAACTGCTTTACAGACACTGAGAGAACATGAAAAACTTACACGTACCATGTCATTAGTTATCCAAATCACTAAAGCCAAAGCCACTCAGTGAGTTGTGACAAATAACATGAAGTCAAATGACTTCAATCCTCAATGCAGAATTCAGAAAGTATGTAAGTTTTCAATCATAATGTTGACTATTGGCTTTTACAGTCAATTTGTCTTCATGCTGAACTTCTTCACACTGCTAATGTCCTCAACTAGCAGGGCAAAAGCAGTAGTGATATTTGGTTGCACAGAAGAACTAATGAACATCAAGCACGCTAGGAAAGATTATAGAACAAAGAGAATTAGGATTCCATTTTCCCTTTGGCAATTATTTCACCTCCTATGCCAAATCTATCAGTTATCAACATTTAAATATTCAAGCTAATTAATATAATGACTGAAGACAAGGAAAGTACAACTTTATTGTTTAATCTTTTTTTGGCCATGATTTATCAAATGCTCACAGAAGTTATTCCCATACTGAGGTTAAGGCAACCCCTAAAGGTAGAATATTTAAGTAATATTCCAAAGCCAAAATAGAATTGGCTACATTAGAGTGCTCTAGCTGACCCATTCGTCTAACACTATGTGAAAAAGATTTGTGTAGCATGCTTAGTGTGATTCACTATTATTACATGCAACATGGTCAAATATGCCACTAGTACACATTAAGATATACTTACATGCGAAAACTCAATCTCAATATGCTAAAAGCATTAAGGCCCCAGAGGAATCATTCTGAACTAGTGGCTATAATAAAAAAGTACAATAAAAGATAGGTAATTTCGCCCTGGCCGGTTTGGCTCAGTGGTTAGAGTGTCGGCCTACGGTCCTGAGAGACCCAGGTTCGGTTCCCGCTAAGGGCGCGTACCTCGGTTGCAGTTTGTCCCCGGCCCTGGTCGGTCGTGCGGGTGGCAGCCACTCAATGTGTTCCTTTCACATCGATGTTTCTCTCTCTCTCTCTGTTCCCCTTTCTACCTCCCACTCTACCTGAACAAAAAAAAATGGGAAAATGTCCTCGGGTGAGGATAAAAAAAAAAAAAAGATAGGTAATTTCTGCCCTGGCTGGTTTGGCTCAGTGGTTGGAGTGTCGGCCTGCGGACCAGAGAGTCCCGGGTTCGGTTCCCGCTAAGGGCACGTGCCAAAAAAAAAAAAAAAAAGATAGGTAATTTCTAATAGGCCCCCATAGAAGACCTGGTGGTACAATAAAAGAGCAGATGGGACGTGATCATGCACCAACCTGACCAAGCAAGCCCTACAAAACCAAGGCTGCCTCAAACTAAAAGCTATCATTAAATTTTATTGAATTATATGTAAGTTTCATGAGAGTCAAAGAACAATTCAATCCATCTCTTTCACCAATTTGGTATTTTCCTGATTGCTACTTTAACTCACCATCTTAGGCTTTTAAAGTCTATTCTATTGTGCTATTAGAATGCAATACATTTTAGTCCACGATAAAGGGTTCAATTGAAAAATGGTAGTTATAGCAAGAAAATAAGTATGTTATTTGGGGTGCTAAAAGCCTCAGTCCACTCTGTTCTGACATTAAGTTCTGGAACAAAATAAAGGTCTGAAAAACAAACAAAAAATACATTCTGTGGTAGGCTGATAATGGCCCCCAAAAATACTGGGTCCTAATTTTTGGTACCTGTAAATCTTACCTCATTTGGGATGGGGGGAAGGTCTTTGCAAATATGATTAAATATCTTGAAATAGAAAAATTATCCAGGTGGGATAAATACAAAGTATTCGTATACGAAAGAGGCAGAGGGAGATTTGACACACAGAGAAGGTGATATGAAGACTGTACAGAGAGATTTGAAAGACTGATCTTAAAGCCTGGAGTGATCAGGCCACAAGCCAAGGGACACTGGCAGCTACCAGAAGCTGGAAGAGACAAGAAATGGACTCTCCCCCCATAGCTTCTAGACTCTAGAATCTAGAGGAAGCGCAGCTAGGCCAACACCTTGATTTCAGCCCAGTTATACTGATTTTGAACTTCTGGCCTCCAGAATTATGAAAGAATAAGTTTCTGTTGCTTTAAGCCACTCAGTTTGTGGTCATTTATTTCAGCAGCCATCATAGTCTAATGATGTCTATAGTTTAAAACTGCAATACAACAGACACTACAAGTTTTTAAGATGTTTCATTTACAAGGTCTATTAATAAAATGGTGTCATTATTGTACACATTCTTAACTTTAAAATCTGTGGTGATTCCTTACTGGACACGAGAATCCAAACCCCTAATACTAAGTTTCAAGATTTTCTGATCCCAAGGTGAATGCTAATTACTTTCTTGCTATTTCTATATCTAATGGGAGCGCTCACCATCACTCTAAGAGACCAAAGTCACTTTCCTCTTGTCAAAGCTTATTTCAATCTTTGCCCTTCTTCTTCTTTGATCCCCACTAACCAAACCTTCTCACTACTGAGAGCTCTAAGCTATTCCTACTTTGTTCATCCACGGATCAAATAAAAGATAAAATCTAAAGCACCCTGTGTTCTAGGAACAGCCACAAAAAGATAGCATGGACTTCCTTATATTAGAAAAATGCTGGCAAAATCATACAAACAACAGAGTTCTGAGAAAAACACTCACTAGTCAAATAGAGAACATACTGATAGCTTTAACAGAATAGGTATGTACTAAAATTGGTGTTGCAAAGTTCATTTATTTTAACTAACTTCTATTTGTTTTCATTGAAAATTGAAATGAATATTCCTGGAACTGGAAGAACTTAGTCACCTGGAAGCAAAGAACTCAAAATGAAGAAATCAGCAAATCTTGTACAAATAAATGGAAATGAAAGTTTAGGAACTTACCAATGACAACAGCATTAAGAAAAAATAATGGAAATACTATGAAATAAACCAAATTGACAATGTGTAAGACTTCTACACTAAAAACTACAAAATGCCACTCATAGAAATCAAAGACCTAAACAAATAGAAAGAAATAATATGTTCATGGAGGGGAAGATCATGCCAATTTTCCCTGAACCAATATACAAATTTAATGCTCCTATCAAAATTTCAATGAACTTCTTTGATGTAGACAAGATTATTATAATATTTATATAAATCTAGAACAGGCAAAAGAATCTTGAAAAAGAACAAAGTTAAAGAACTTACATTACCTATTTCAAGACTTATTATAGCTATCATAATCAACACTGTATACTGACATAAATATATACAAATAGATCAGTGGAATAAAGAGTCTAGAAATAGACCATACATATACGGTCAATTCATTTTCAAAAAAGTGCCAAAACAATTCAATATGGAAAGAATAGTCTACAACAAAAGATGTTGATAGTTCAACTGGAAAAAAAATTAACCTCAATCCCTATCTCCAGGCAATTATTATGCCTGCTCAAGTCTGAGAAGCACACTGTTAGACTCTACTATTTAAAACATGGAATTAGTGGCAAATCAGA